ATCCATGCAAAAGGGTGGAAAAGACGGACTATGAAACATAATCAGCAAACGAATAAAAAAATAAGAACCGTCTTTATTTTACTTTGTTTACTGAGCAAAACTGCCTTACACTTATAACGGAAGTCTTCGGCAAAACGATGTTTTGCGGGATGTCTGTTCCTTCGAAATCTACAAAGTCGATTGCCTCGAGGCTGTTTTCTTCAATAGCCTTCAAGAAAACCGAAATAGATAATAGCAAATTGAGCAGATTCTTACTTCTGCAATGTCCAAAAAGTGATTCAGAAGCACAAAAGCCATCCCTTGATACTTTCCGCCAAGTTTCTGAAAATTTTATACTACATATACATCATAAATTTCAATCACCAGCAATCATAAATTTCTATAGCTGGTAATAACTACGGCGAAAATGATGACTTATTCAAGAATGGAATGTTTTCTTAATGCTTTAGTAGTTACTGCATAAAAACAGTTTAATTTATGCGTTCAGTCCATAGTCAAACGTTCCATTGGATACAGAGGTCCAAAACGATCACAAAACACTGTCAATATCTCTACCTTGAGGAAGGCCCATGAGATACGGACCGAACCGTAATTGCTGAATCACACAGTTGACCATCAGCTTGTGTTGTACACAAAAAACCTTTTTATGCTGTTTCTAAGAAAACAAAACTAAAACACTGCAAAAGTTATTAATTTTAGATGACTGTATGAAAATGTCACAAGTTTGATCATAATCGGTTAAACCGCTTGATGATTACGTAGTAAACGATTGGCAAAATACCGGGTAGAATAGTTTGAGATGGAAGGTAATTTTTGAGCACGATGAAATAGCCTTGATTTTTTGCTATGAACTATATTATATAATTTACAATCAAGCATCATTCAGTAATTCATGCTGTGTAGCTTTATGCGGATCGTTAGGTTCTGCTGCTTCATCTTTGTTCGTTTCGTCCCCTTTCAATCCGATGTAGTTAGGAGCCCGTTAAATTCCCATACATACATATGCGTATATTGACGTTTCGAACCAAATCCTGTTCGTCTTCAGAGTAACAGTGAGTTTTACAAGACGTCAAGGAAGTCAACGAAGCACTGCTGCTTTGTGCAACCAGCAAGGTTTAAGTAAATCGCGACCATGACGCAGATGTCAGCGACACATGGTAGGAAAACATGCGTTTAGGAAATAAAAATACGGCCGTTTAGGAAAAACGACTAGCGCGACACCATTAGGCATACAGATTAACTCTGTAATTAATGTCCCGCAGAAAGCCACGTGCAAAATTTATTGTAATTTAGAAAACGCAAAGGATTGGGTCCAAAACGCCAGAATCTTTGGAAATGTCTCGGACTAAAGATCATATGCGTTGTTACCTCGTATGCGAATTGTACAAGGATGCTGTCATCTCCGGAATACAGAATGCATACACTATTTTCTGCTATATCGTAGATAACTTTAGAATTCTATTAAAACCGTAAAATTAATTAACTAACATATATAATGCATATTAGACATACAAACTGAAATTAAAGAATCCCTAGCAACGGCGAAAATACAGTGTTGGAAAGGTGAGAATTAAGTCGACTATACAAATCATGGAAGCTCTATTACGTAAGCGAGTTAACGTGATGATCACACAAAAATAAAATATGATTAAACGCTGCTTACTCTGCAATCGACCCCAGCTTCATAGAAAGCCTTATCCGCGGAAATCACGTCTGTATAACGCAGAAGGCTGACGCTAATTCTACTTCTGATCATTCCAACGTCTCCGTCTTCGCTAAGCTCAGACAACGCGTTGTACAGAGAGTACAAGTGGGAAATCAGCAGGTGTTTTTCCAAAACATCAGCCACGTGACTTTTACCGACCGATTTCAAAGACTTTGTTTGTTTCATCTAAATGAAGAAATCGTTCAAATGAACAGTGCCTAATTTTGGAAATGGGAAACTGCAAATTAGCAGCGATAAATTCATAAATATCACTGATTAAAAATATTTATCCATCTGCGATGAATGAGCAAGACCTTAAATATGATAAATACCTCTGAGAATTTTACATTCGTCATTGAAGAAACTACTGGTACGGCGTAGGCCTTTATCGGCAGCATGCAAGTTTGAAAGACGCTCAGTAGTACTTTGGAACTGATGAAACGGTTGAGATAATAGCTTGTTCTATACACTTTCTTGATGATCATTGAGATGTGTATATACCATGTGAGATCTGAAGAAACAAAGATGACAAGACACTGCGCCTTTAACGTGAGACGCAGGAGCTCACCCTTCATCGTTCAATAATCGATAAGTGCACAGCCTTATAAATTGACATTCTGCTGATACGGAATGATCCACAACGATGCAAAGATTAAAGGCTTCTGTTCAAGTAGGTTTATCGCAGCGAGATAGGTATTCATATCATCTAGTTAACTGACAAGTGCAATGACAGAAGTCTTCAACAAATTTAAAGCTTGTTACAGGCTCTCTTGCAGCAGAGGCTATATTGCAAAGGTTATAAAGCATAGGTGAAAAGACTCAACCCGGCCTCATACAAAGGTTGTTATCTAAGCACTTTGACCTTCTGCATGCGAAAGCAACAAAAATTTTTGTAGTGAAAAACAGTTAAATAGCCAAACGAAAAATTATGTCTCTAAGGATAGCGTCTCTACTACATTCCGTATTCCACCCGCGACATTGTGATGAACGCTGGAAAGAGGTGGAGAAACACTGCCATCTCTCCACGCTATTCTGACGATTATACAATATCGTCACTACTAGTCAGCCTACATTAGCGACTAAAGTACGATCCATATAAATACACTATAGAACCGAGATGAACGAAAGATCTGCGCGTCTATTAATGTAACTATTTCCGCAGATTCGACGCGCAATACCTCCCCCTGATATCATTGGTAACAAAGCGCTGGTGAGCAGTCCTCCGGCCACAGTAACAATCTCTTGTCAGTTTTAAGGAGTAGTACAACGCCGCATCGCGGGAGACTCCTGTGAATTATAAAAAAACAGTTACATTGAAGGACTTGACAGTATAACCATGTCCTAAGCAATAAGGATTAATGAACGTTAATAACTGAACAGCTTATAATTATCATAACATATCTTTACCATATGCGATGTTATTACTTTTTGCACACATTAAATATTTCACGTCAGGTCATTAAAGTTTTGTACAATGTTACAACGGACACGCAGTCTAATCGTTGCTGCACACAAATTTTCTTTAGTTACCATATGCAACAGTGCGTCTCTTAACGATGCCCAGTTCCAGTACTGCATTTCCGCTTCCGGATCTTGGAACACGTAAAGCTTCGCGACGAATGACGAGAATGCCTCGGCATTCTTTTTTCAAAAAGCATTAATTGATTTAAAACATTAAGACTTATTTCATCTTCATTTCTAGTTCACCTCTTGTGTGAGCTGTAAATCGTGCTTAGCTACGGCTTCAAAAGCCTTCCGATATTCGTTCTGTTCGACCAAAATCTGGATCCATCGCATTAAATAAGTGGAAAGGATGTCGGTTTTCTAAAAGCAATTGAACATAATGAAGGTTGATTAAGCAACAAAGATGTAAAACAACTTTTTGCTGTTTCATCATTTCCAGCGCCTTCTCCCAACGGTTGTCGTGGATAAGCAGCTGAACGGCAGCAGGAAGATCCACGGAGGCCAACTGAGTGTAAAACGCAGTTCACAAAAAACTCAAGGAAGTAGAATTCACAATACCGCATCTACATCGCCCTCAGTTCTGAGAAACTGTTTGTACTTCTCTTCTACGTACGGCATTAATGTAGGTTTGTAAGTGGCGGCCACTTTTGCAGCGTCATTCCAGTTACGTCCAGCGATCAGGCAGTTGATTGAGTCCTCAGGCTGGTCCGCCGTCAGATACAACTCAGCAGCCTAAACAATCTTAATAACAAGCAACGTAACAGGAAATATATAACTGTTATTTTGCACTTTAATATTTACGTGTTTCACCAAGCTGAGGGGAAGAGCATTTTATTCGTCATTCAGACAGAGTTCAAAACTTCCAATTCCGCAGAGAAATCGAAATCATTTTATAATGATCAGCAAGACATGATTTTTGTCCAGTGTCTCAACAATGTGATCCGCTTTCAAGTGACTAGCATTACACTGTTTTGATTAGTAACGTTGACGGCGGTGATGCGTGATAAGCAACTTTACGATAGTGACAGAGTACAGCAGGACAATCAGTTGACCGTTTTGATGGAATGATGAGCTCTCTATATGGAAACGAATACTACAAAGCTATATCTAATTTTCTCAGCGGTCAGGCAAATTTTAGGGTGACAGTTCTGGCAGTTAAGTTCCCTATCGTTAGCCGACTGTCCAAAATCTAACCTTGGCATTACCAAGAAAGCGGGAAATAATCGACAATAGATAACTAACGAGACAATGGAAACAGACAGAGCACCGCATGCCTTCTGAGCAAGTATCGTTAAGCACACTTTGATTATAAAACTAGATAGAAGGACTGCCGAGAATTTATCAGAGGTAACAACGAAAACAACGGTGAAAAAACTTCTACACTGTTCCAGTATAACGGAAGAAGTGGTGCCTCACAGCAAGAGAGCGATAGGAAAAACGATGCTGACTGGACAGTGATGTGCATACAGGTAAGTGACACAATCGCATAGCTCATAGGTAAAGCAAAAGCTTCATTATAACACATGGATTAGAGTCGCGGTGTAGGATCAAAGAATTGACCAATGTTACCAGCACTACATCAGTTGCAAACAAGATATATAGGAAAAAGCATAGGAATGATAAGTAAATAGCACCTTTTGGGCTTGAAGGATGAAGAAACCTTGAGCATTCAGCATGTCTAACTTGTCGAAAGTCGTGCATTTATTTCTGTCACTTTTGAATAGAGGGTGACATTTGTGATGGTCAACCATCACCTAACCGTAACTTGATTGGAAAACGTCATTTGTGTAACAACCCCTATCCGCTGGACTGATGGGAAGTTCTCTCAGTAGCCCAATTCATTTCCAATATGAGGATAACAATACATTACCGTTGAAAGAGGAAAGAGGAATTGGGGTCATGCTGATTATTACAATCATCTATTTGGTCAGTGAAAGCGAAATGCATCTAGATAGGGCGCTGACATTAGACAGCGAGGCAGCAAACCTCGTTCATTTTGGCATAACCAGACCAGAATACCATTCTGTCTCCAATATTCGAGTGCTCCGGAAATGCTTGCCGTTCGTACGCTGGTTGCAAAGAAGCATCATGGGGTTAATTCGTTCCTCAATGGAATTCTCGGTAAAGAGAATGATTGACACCCTTAAGCGGATTCGTAACCGGTATCTTTGGAGTTGAAAGCCGACCTCCTAGATACCGTGCCACCACACCCCATAAAAGACAGAGGTATAATTATTTAAAATATCACGTACATACTAATACGTTATCACTGGGCATTAACATCTGACTTGGCCCCTCTCTACAGCTATTAGATTTTGAAAAGGATCAATTCCCGGGCGCCTACGAAAGGACCAAAGATTAGACAAGTTGCAGTGACCTACGTGGGAACAACCTTCAACTGTACACAAAAAAATTAAATATACGCTACCTCACAGATACAAAAGCTCTTAACAATAAAATACACTGAAAATGAACTACCTCTTGGAATAATTTTATATCCTTCAACTGCTCTGCCACTTGCCTGATCAGATATGACTTCGTATCGGCAAACTTCGTCAACAAGTCTGCAGCCTGAAACAGAGTATATAACGGGAGGAAAAATGCGGACAACGCTTTTACCTTGCTGGTACATTTCTTTATTAAAGCTTGGTCATGCGTTAAAGGGCTTTTGACTCTTAGGTAGCATGAAACTGCCCGTTCAAAATCGCCTTGTTCTTCGCAGCTTTTTGCATCAGACAAAATAAACTGCACTCCGCTAAATGAACAGGTTAATTAAATTCAATAACGAAAAGAAGACAGAGGTAACGAAGAAGAATTCACTGGTAGAGAAGATTAAATTTGTCAAGTTTAACAAATTAAAGTCATGCTGTCAGAAAAGGAGCATGTTAAAAAACTGCTTTGTGGTATTTTGTAGTGCATCGAGCTTTCGTGCGTCGTTTATTGCCTTCAGCGATGTTTTGTTAATCACTAATGATGCATTAGCAAACGACGTTTCGTATAATCTTCTGCAGCTATTTCAAAAATATGGGCCGTAAGCCGGCACTAGATTACAGGGCGCAGATCTTCCAATAGTTTTCAATAACTACCCAGGGGACGAAAAAAGGTTTCGATGAAGCATATAAGAAAACTACATAAAGGTGGACTATTAACCCTGATCATTCATGGCAAAGCCATGTACTGCTTGCTCCTCAAAATAGTCAAGGAGGATATGAACCGTCTCAATCGAATGAGCATTTAACTGACTGCAATGCTTGAAAGCCGCTCTTTTACAGAGAGCAGCAATTGTCCCGGAAATCATGCAGATTTTCAAGGCAATAAATATAACAATTAGATAAATGTGTTACTGGAATTTTCAACAACAATAACAGAATTTATATCTTCTCTAGATGATTGCACTAGTCAGTCAGCAATTAGTCAACCTGGCAGAAAATTCTCTTTGCGACAAGTTCAATCAACCATAAGCTTTATTGTGCTCGATGAAATATAACAAAGGAATGAGTAGATTATTCTGATAGCAATTATATTTTATCGGCGGTCCTGCAAACGTTCTTTATAAGGTTTATAGACAAAAATATAAATTAACCACTAAATGTAAGTTCTAAAATACCTTTCGCCGAGATTTAGCTGCTTTTCATCGCATTCATTTTGAAGATTCTGGAGTTTGTGAGGCAAGTACTCTCGACATATACGAAGCGCATCGGTCCATCTGTTTGCTTCCTAAATTCGCGAATAATAAATAACTTCTGCCCTAAGATTACGCAATTTACCACTGGAAGATTTCGAAAAGTGTGGATTTAATGAATTTAATAAATTCTGCACTTCACAGCTCGAATACCACCTTTCAACGTAAATTGCATTTAAATTATAAAAATTTTTTTACATGGTTCACAAACTTCA